TCGTTTCGGTGAGACCTGACACACTTGTGCTAGTTAATGCAAGTGGGCCATCTGCGTTCAACAGTTTACAGAAACCCCTCAAGGTGGCCTGTAAAGCTTCGCTAGGTATCTTGGAGTGTTCCACCAAGCCGAACTGCGCCCACATGTCTGTTCTCCACTCCATAACCCGGAGACGAGGAAGGGCGTGGCTGCGTGCTTCACTTGAACATGGCGTAGAAATCGCTCTTCAACAATGACAGAATGATTAGAATTGTACCAAGACGGCAGCAACCCACCAAAAGAAACGCCACCGCTATATTCGAATGAAGTACGTAGCCACGCCCTCCCCATCTTCAGGGTGCGAAGGGTACATGTCCTCGTTTTCACTTTCAATTACACTTTCACTTTCAATTCACTTTCAAATTTATTCAGATTTATCTCATATTAGTTAATTTACGCAACTTTTTTCACGTCATGGTGACACTACACCAATATTCCTGTAGAGATACTGACTCCTTCCTGTACGCAAGGAGGTGAATGGGCGAACGAGCTCCGGAGGGTGTCCTCTGTGCAAAGAAGGGTATCGTAGTTTGTTATGAGAATTGGTCAGCCTGCCTCGTAGCCTGTCTAGGAATTTACAAAACCTCACAACTTCAGCCCGGCATTTTACTAGGCTACAAAACGGTCCGGATTATCGCCCACCGCTGCCTTTGGCGCTTAAGTTCTCCTGAAAGAGTTAGTGCTTTGCACATTCATGGTTTTGCCCTTTAATGGAACCGTTTCACTTCTGTCTTGACGCTGAAACTTCCCACCGTCTGAGAGACTTTTCAGTGCACTGCATCGCGTTCTCTAGGATTGCAAAGAAGTGAGACCTCATCGAAATATTCCCTTTTGTACGGTCCAATTTCTGACGAGTTTTCCCAAAGCTTTATCGCCGGGTAGAAGGGTGTAAAGGGTGGACATGGAGATATGAAGAACATATGGACAATGACAATTCCCTAGTGTCTCATAGCCTACTTATCCCTTACCAGAACTCTAAATTCCTAATTCTCCAGAAACATTTTCTCATTTTTCACCGAAGAAGCAGACGCTCCAACGGAGATTCTGTTAATAGTGACCGCCTGAAACGGGAAAATCAACTAGCGAAAAATTATCTCGAGGGCTATAGCGATCCCCCATCCAGCAGTGAAATTAACGACTCCCTCCGTTGTGCTTTTCATAAATGTTTCTCTACCGCAATTGTATTGAACTTATGAGAAAGAGCAAGTTATCTCAAAGTGACTGGATTAGTCCGCTAAAGAGGTTACCCTACAGGCCTTGGAGGCAGTTGGCATGATAAATCTCCAAGTCGTGCAGGACTAATATGCCTAGCAAGACTGAATTCAGCCCCTGCGTGGCGCCTTATCCAGAGAAATTGCCCTTATAGCGCCCTATCAAGCTGAAGCGTACCGATCTGGACGCCCACCGCGCCCGCCCGCCCACAAATGGACGACCCGATCCTCATACCCGTATTGCATTATTTGCGAAGTACAATATGAAGCGAAGGCATTGACATGAAGCGGCTGCGGTGCTTCATGGATATGTGTCAAAACATGTATCTGCAGTAACAGTTGTTGGCATGATGCCAACGGGAAACTCGTCCGGAATTGCTTTCTGAGTCGTTAGAACAAAGACTTTTTCGCAGGTTTTTTTTTTGCAGATTTTGACCGTATAACTTCGTTTTTCGCCATTTTACCACTGTTTAGCACCCCGCTACCATTTCAAACAGAGTATCAAATTGCCGTCCAACTGCAATCTTGCCTGCTAAGTAGCCTAGGAAAATAGTGGCTTTAGTAAAATTGCAGTTGAAAATAGAGACCTGTTATAGTGTGCAACAGTCCTATATTTTCAGCGAATTCTAGTTTTAGGCTGGTGAATACGCCAGCTCCTTAGCAATCTGATCTAAAAAAGAATCTAGCTCATGGTTTCCCTAGACTGCTTGGAGAGCCGTTGAAACCACAACGCAAAAGGGCATCGCACGAAAAAAATCGTGCCCTTTCCCGCAAACCTGCCCGTTTGAAAGTTTTTGTTAGCGTCATCAAGGCTGATTCTCGATGATCGCAAAACCAGCAATTCAAAGTCCGTACTCAAGCGCAACAAAGATTGGGCAAGATTCCCTCTAGTCTTGGGGAAATCTATTCAAGTTGAATCAATTGTAACGATAGTCCTGATCAGGCTTGCACTGCATTTCTTAAGGACTTCAGTGAGCGGGTTATATTCGAATCTGTGAGCCTTTCTTCTGACTTTTGATTTATCCCTTGTGATTTTTTTTGACCTGCTTTATGCCACTTCCAGTTGCCGGCTCCGTAATTCCACTACTTGTGATACTTTTTAAAAAAGACATACCCGCGACGCGCCCGAAGATGTGCCTTAAAAATTCTTTCTCCTTTACTAAACCATAAGATACTCGCGCCGAAACTGGCGTTCAATAGTGGTGGCGACGGTCGGAATTTGCGCGAAAAACGAAGTTAGCATGCTTTTTTGATTTTAATGTTCGAAAAAAGGGGATGAACTATGAGCGCTACCGAAAGTAGGAACGATGTACGAAAAAAATGAGGGCCGCATGGGCAGAGCCCACTTACTACTAGACCGTTCAGGAACCGAAAGAAATGAAGTTATGGGCATAACATTTTTGATCAAAGTTAGAGAAGCCTAATAGGCTTGGCCTGTTCACAAAGGCGGAGCTTGTTCTGAAAGTTCCTTCTCCTTCCTGGGTCAGAATCAGGGTACCTGCTGCCGTTGGGGAGGAATGTTGCAAAATCGCCCTCACCTCAACTGGAATGACCCCTTCCTTGTCCCACCTACCATCTTCATCGATTCTGTCCAAATTTCCACCACTTTTTCCACAGAAGTCCTCCGGAAACGCTCGATAACACTTTCTCGGATGCAATTGAGCCCCTTCCACCTTTACCGACAAAATACGGTTCGATCGCTAAGGATCCCCAGCGCAGAGTGCCTTGACAGAATAGTCAGCGAACCGTGAAAGTAGAAAGTGGCGGCTTATCAGAGTGAGGTCAGAGTCGCCGAGGATTTCAGTGCTCAAGGACCCATCCTGTAAACATGGTCCTATCGTCCTGCAGGCTCTCTTTACCTTGGGTGTAATTTGGTTCCCACGGTGCAATGTGGGTGGCGCCGCGACTGGTTTTAGCCTTTTTTTGTTCACCAAGCCGTCGATATTCCTCGACGCACGAGGATGAACTATCTACTGCGGTCACTTATTGGCGCACCATATGAGTTGCGCTGCACCAAAATCTGCATTGGTTTTAGCACATTCAGCTGCATTCACCTGCATCCTATGCTGAAAGTTGTCGCTCATTATCACTCGCTATCACTCATTACTTTTCAGTACCAATGTTTCCAACCAACGTTCATTAATGTCCCCCACGCTGCGTGCGTCGCAAAAGATTAATGGCTATTGGAGTCATTTACAGTCGTTATCAGTGAAGTCGGTCGGGGCTCGCCAGCTGAGCAGTCAACCCACTTTCCAAAGATGGTTGCAGCTTTAGTCGTTCAATGACTGCTGGGAAAGGGACAGACGTCACTGACACTCCCGACTGGATTCAGTGGTAACGACTGTACGTGTGGCTGGTACTTCTTAGCTAGTCGTCCCGAGTTTTGCCCTTTCAGGTTAAGTCGATCAAGTCCTGGTACGGAAGTCGCGCAAGTGAATTGTACACTACCGTCTTCCATGCGTCGCCGCGACGTGAATGTGCACCCCACCCCTACCACTATCATCATTTATACTCACTCAGTCAATGTGCTCTTACTTCCTGATCACTATTAAGACCGGATCTTCACGTTGGATTTGCTGACACACAAGAAAGGAGGGTCATCAAAACGAGCATACACCATGAGGTCTGCGTCCATATCAGGGCGCTGACCTGGAACCTGTCCTGCAAATTAAAACGATATCTTAAACAGTTAAACAGTTGTTCATGAGGAGACTTTGAAGCGTTCCTTCCACGGCGTTTTTTTAGGAGCCATATGCTGGCAGCGCAGCTTACAGACGCCGGTCAGGAGTTCCACGCTGCGGCGACGAGGCGAAAGCCGCCTTGCCATGGCGTCACGTGCGTGGCCTTCCAGAACCTACTTGATTTAATGCTCGTCTCAGTAACATGGACTTTCTCACCCACAGCTGCTTACAGTCAGTGCCGTACCGCTCAGTTAAGCTTTGAATGAGGAAGGGAATAAAGAGGAGCTAGCCCTCTGTCTTCCCCTCCCCCCCCCCTCCCAACACGTTAGCACTTTCAATCGCGGGAGCAAGAATGTTTATTGCTCTATTAGAACCCATTACTTTCTTTTTCTCCTTTTAGATGAAGCTCGAGGATCAACAACGCAAGCGCGTTATTCTTCGCCGACTTTTCCAATCAATAATTATGCCAACTTTCCCGCAGATTTTCTTTTCAATTCGAAGACGGGGAATCTTTTTTTCACTTTTCATCTGTCTCTCAAAACTTCGTCTAGCTCCTATCACCTGGGTACCCTGAGGTAACTCATTCCATGTTGTTTTTTACTGCAATCAATACTGCTGGTGAAATCTCTCCGCTGCGTAGTAGTGTTCCGTCCACGGGATATTTTTTTTATCGCTCCTTGTTGGAGTCTGAAAAAATGAGGGAGAGGAGAGTAGAAGAGTTACGGGAAGGAAGGAAAAGGATGAGAAAGAAAGTGAAAGGAGAAGGAAGGCTCCGCGGTTGACAGATATCTCGGGGAAGTTGTTCGCGTTTAACACAAAGCGATGCTACATACACGGCATTCCTGTGGGACCCACGTTGTCCACGTACTTTCGTACGCCAGTGACATCTCAATTTCTTCTAGACAATCCTTAATTATTTTCCTTTTCTTCTTTAGTTGTTTTTATTCTTGCCGGTTATCCGTTCTCTTTCCGTGGCTTATCAGCTACGGTAGATGGTGTCTAGAACATTTTTGCAGAACATGGGTGCGGTGAGTGATCAAGAAACAAGGCGTTCTTCAAACGTTTCAAGTAAAATTAAAAAGGCGGCGTCAAGGCAAAACGGATTATTATGCAAGGAAAAGGCTCACAGTGCAAGACAAAAACAAGTATAACACCCCGAAGTATAGGCTCGTCGCTCGTTTCACCAACAAGGACATTGTGGCCCAGGTGAGATAGTGCAGCTGTACCCATCGAAGGCGCGGCTTCGTTTACATTTGTCTGGGCCACAGAATGTTTTTCTCCGGAATTATTTTTTGAGTTACAAGTGAAAACTTCACATCCACGCCATTGTTTTCTTTCCCATTTTTAGATTGCTTATTCGAAGATTGAAGGAGACGTCGTGGTCACTGCTGCGTATTCGCACGAACTTCCCGCATACGGTATCAAGGTTGGTCTTCATTTACATTTCAGTTAACCTTCTCGATGACTTGTATCAGTACAAAGCACCAAAAATTAGTGGGATTTAGTGTACTGAGTGAAAAAATTACGAGTTTAGTGCATTTACGCCCACCGCTCCAAACAACAACTGAGCGCCCTGCGTTAAGTGTAAAGAGAACATTTTCGGTGGGCGGTGCAACTAGGGAGGCGTCGGAGCTGTCACCTGTGAGGGCCGCAAACCCTCCCTATTTCCTGTAAGGCCGCGAATGTGGATTATTCTCAGCGACTGCGGACCAGACTTCTTGAAGAAGGAAGGACCCTACGTATTAGTTGAGCGGGGGGGGGGGGCTGTCTCTAAGGAAAACTGCGGCATAAAATCAACCGTGAGCTAACGGCCATGAGTCATTTCACGACCATCAGAGATGTCCTTTGAATAATTTCAGTTATAGGTTGGTCTAACAAACTACGCTGCTGCGTATGCCACTGGCCTCTTGCTCGCTAGACGCCATCTGAAACAATTGAACTTGGATGAAACGTTCAAAGGGCAAGACGAGGTGAGGTTATGCTTATATTTCTTCTCTCATACGCAGAGATGAAAATTGACCAGTTACAGGTTACCGGTGAGTACTTCATTGTCGAAGACGAAGGTGGCCGCCGACCGTTCAAAGCCGTGCTGGATGTTGGACTGTCGCGAACAACGACTGGCTGCAAGATTTTCGGT